GTGTTCTATGATTCTGGTCTGGCCTTTTGGCCAAGTGGTTATGCACCTATCTCATGCACAATGTAGGATGGCGCCCTTTAGCCTGAATACCACTTCACAGACCCATGTCTCCGCCCTGCTGTCTACATGCTGCTCTGACAGTGTGTAAGTCACCGCCCTGGGTCGAATATTTACGCTGCCATGTGGTATATGACAGTTGTATCCAGGGTGTGACTTTGTTTCCTTTGTGGCTTTGTTCCACAAAGGCTCTTGTATTAGCACCACATCTACGCCTAGCTCGTAAGCTCGGGAAAGCGCGATGTCGTGTGATTGGCCTCCCCTTCCTACGTTGATTGACATAAAACTTATTGTAGGTAAGAGGCTAGAAGGGACCCGTGAGGAGCCCTTCAGGAAGACTCAACAGGATTTGTTGTTACTATGGGCGTGGCATCGGGGGCGACGTCAGTCATCAGAACTTCGAAACTGTTGTTCAATTTCACTGCTGTTGGTGAGTCTTGCGTTTGCATAGCAGCCGCTAGAGCTGCTGCCTCTGCCCGACGGGCTGCAGCTTTAGCCCTCACAACAGCCGCTAGCTCGCGTTGGCTCGCGATGCAAATATTGGCCAGTTGCTCTCTGCTTACCGGCCCGGACTTGGTGGGGCGCGCCAGACAGACTCGACTGTTGGACCTGTGCGGTCCTCCGCAGTTGCGGCACTTGCTGTGTGCACTGCACTCGTCTGTCGAGTGCATTGTTGAGGAGCAGTTCTAGCAAGCTCGGGCGCGAGAGCAACCGCGCGTCTGTTTTACTTGGTATATGAAATGGGGAACGTACACTTGCGCTTGACGGCTAAGATATGATGTTTTATTGAGAGTGAATTGTAGATGACTCTATGGATATATGTTCTAATTTACAGTGGGAAATACTTCCCTTTTATACCCCATGGACTCGCTTACCAGCGAATCATATGCCCATCATGCTTACTCATGCAGTGTGCCTTGCCTGAACAAATGCGTCAAACATGTCATGTGAGTTGTCCATGCCTGAGGTACCTTGATGACACACTCACCCTCCATGCGCTACCTGCCAGGGCTACCTTAGCTGAGCACAACAGCGTCCTGTGGAACTGCAGGCAGCGTTTGCATTGCTGCACAGTCTGTCGCGGCTTGTGTGGGACCGCGACGCCCGAGTTGTCGAACAGGCGGAATCCTTGTCTTGGTGCTGCTCCCTTCCTGAAATGGGCAGGCCATGACTGGTATGGAGCGTCAAGGCGAGTTTTCCCGTGGGGCCGTACCTTGACTGGCACGGCCTTTGTGACTCGCGTGATCTCCTCGATCACCATCTCCTCCGTCACATGCACCTTTCCGAGGAGGGTGTGGATGGCAACAGGGACCGTCGAGATCCGGAGCGCGACAAGGTCCGAGGCCTCCTAGAACCTTACCTCGATTGGGAGGAAAGATTCCGCCGTGCTCAATAGGAGCTTGCGAGATTCCAGGTTCTTCGCTCTGAGTGCGAAGCCAGTTGGGACACGGTAGACGTGTTCAATTGCTGCCTGAGGCGCGTTGGTCAGCTGCGCCACCGCTTCTCTGATGCCAGCTGGCGAAAGATTTCGCCACTGATGTTTTGATTTTAGCCGGAGGAACAGTCGGTTGTCCGGCGAGGACGAAGGAGCCGTCTTGGCCGATTTCTTGGTCGGCGGGGTCGGCTTTTTCGGGGCACCACTTGCTATCACTGGCGTCGGGTGACTTGGTAACTGATTCCCGGCTACAGTTGCCCAGGTTGAAGTGACCTGGGGCACCGCGACGGCAGGATTTGCTGTCCTGGTGGTCGATGGTGGTGAGGGCCCGCTGTTGCTGGCCTGCTGGCCGATGGGGCGGGGGGGAAGACTTGTCGGCACTGGTGTGGTTCCAGTGCGCAGGAAGTGGGCGAGGGCGCCCCTCAGACACACGTTCATCGCGTCCAAGTATTCTTTGTTATCTGTCGTTTTCATGGACAGGATAACACTTTCCAATGTTTGTAGCACCGTTGACCCTATCTCGAGCCTGGCTGAGGTGTTTGCAGCCCGCTTTCTTTCGGCTTCGAGTAAAGCCTCTATTTCTGGCGGGTGAATTGGCGTGGTGCCGGTGGGAGCACCACCAGAAGAGTGGTTGTGGCACTCAGCCGTCCCTGGAATCGAGGCCGGGGGTGGCTGAGGTCTTGAGGCATTTGATGCCACTGCGCAGTTCGGGACTTCCGTTTCCCTCGGTGTATTTTTCTTTGGTGTCCACTTTGCTAACGGAACCGCAATTTTTCGAGCCGCAACGTGTGCGGGCTTGGTCATTGTCGACGGGACTGCTTCCTCGGCGATACTTACTGGGGCAGTTGATGCCTTGTTAGTTATTATCTCGGCACCTTTTGAGGGCCTGACTTCTACCAGTCGCGGTAGTGCTGGAACTGTAGCGCACTTTTCGGGTGCAGCGACGGTTTTATTGTAGGTATCTGCGGGATTTGGAGATAGTTCCGCATCTTTTTGGCTGGAGTAAGCCCAAATTGAGTCTGAAAGAGTTATTAGCTTCTCGACTTCAGCATCCACCATCTCTACCTCCGGGACATAGTTATCCTTTGCTTGGAGGGCGGCTGTGATGGCGTTCATGTTTTTATCGCTAATCTCGAGTCCTCTGCTTGTTAGCTTATTTTTGGCGTGATCTCGAATTGCGCTGTTCCATTCACATGGTTTGTTGACGCGATCTTTGGTGATGCAACTGATCGCGTTTTGGAGCGTTTTACGCGTCGGAGGCATTTTAAAATGCCACTGATGGCAAACAATTACAATTCGATGTGTAAATAATAGGTGAGATGGATAATAGGGTGGGAATGGGCAAGTTTGAATTTCTCGAATTGTTTTTTTTTTTTTTTTTTTTACTTTTGGTCCTAAGCTAACGCTATCTTTTCCACATTGGGTCAAGGACCGGTGGAGCCGGCAAGGATCACTGCGTACAGGCCCAACTCATTCCAACCGCATGAACTTCTACTGAAATTGTAGAAGTTAACAGCAAAACTAAAATCAAAAACATAAATCAAAAACTGAAATCAAATTTGGAAGAAATACTGTTTGGTCCGGATCCCGCGCTTCTCGCCCGTTCCCTTTCCTGCCACATCTTCCACGTGACTTTTTCTTATCTCCGCTGAGAGCGAAAGACTAGTTCGCAGATACCCTGAATTCAGCTGGTATCCTGCTATATATATTGAAGCTTTTTGTAGACTTCACCGAGGGTTGCTGTACCCTCAAACTTCTTCTTCGGATTCCAGGATTCCGAAACCCGATCCCTCGGCCATCGAGACATCCTTTGTTGAGGCCATTGTTGCCTCTTCGGCCCTTTTGGCTGCAGCCCTAAATCGAGCCACTTTCGCGAACTCCCCTTGCTGGATCTGGCGGATCCGCGCGAGCTGCTCTTTTGTCACCGGTCCGGACTTGCTGGGTCTGGCTAAGCAGGTCCGGGAATCCGATCGGTGAGGTCCCCCACAGTTTCGACACCGGGTGAGGGCCTTGCACTCTGATTCTGAGTGCATATTAGATCCGCATTTCCAGTAAGCAGGAGCGCGGGAACAACCACGGGTTGCGTGAAATTCAAGACATTGTTTGCATTGTTCGATTTTGCGACGAGGTCGGAAGAGCTTTGCAGCTCCAGAGTCGTCGAAAAGGCGGAATCCAGGTCGAGGAGCGGATTCTCGTGGAAATAGCGCTTGCCAATTTGAGTAGGGCGCCCCTGGTTTGCTAGTCCCATGAGGACGAACCAGAAAGGGAACCAACTGGGTCACTCGCGTGACTTCGTCGGCAACCATCTTTGCCATCACGGCAATTGAGCCAGCAAGAGTTCGAATTGTCTCCAGGACGGTGGCAATTTGCATGGCAACCAGATTTGATGCTGGTTCCAGTTTGATTCCAGATTCGCTCCGTGATGTGGAGGAATCTAGGAGCTCCTTTCGAGAAGCTCCGTTCTTTGCTGTAATAGCAAAGCCGGTCTTTACCCGCTGAACCAACGTAATATTGTTGGCAGCGGTTCCCAGCGCCTGAGACACCGCTAACCTTACTCCAGCTGGAAAAAGGAGATGGTGGGTATGGAAATAGTCAAGGCGCAGAAAAAGTCGTGAATCGGCTTTTCCACTCGAGTTGGCACTCTTTGCTTTCTGGGCGGGCGGTGCTGCCTTTTTTGTCGATGGCCCAGCGCTGCTGACTAGGCCTACTCGAGCTACGGTGGCCCAAGTTGTCTTTGGGGCCGGAGCCTGGGTTTTCGTAGAGTCAGGTGCCCTAATTTCTGGAGCCCTCGGTGAGAGAGGGTTGGCGGGGCGGGTAGGAAGGACTGGTGGTGTGCTTCCTGGACCGGATTGAACGAACTGGCCAATAGCTGCTCGTAGGTAGACTTTTATACCGTCTACGAATTCTTTATTTTCGCCGATCGAAAGAGGCGAAAGTGCTGCTTAAACACTGTTTATCGCAGTCGAGCAGATGGCGAGGCGGGCCGTAATTTGCGTCGTACGTCGCTTTTCGGCCTCCATCACGGTTTGCAGCTCCGGAGGAAACTCGATAGCTGATGTCGATGCTGCGCCTTTTGAGGCTGGCACAGCATTTTTTCCGGCAGACGATTCTACACGTTCGGTCGTCCTTTCTCTGACGACCTCCTTTCCTTTCCTGGAGCTGCTTGCCTCGAGGGCCAGCTCGGCGGGTTTCGCGGTCTCTTGACTGTTCGTTTCTGTTCTGATCGGATCAGAATCAGACATCTCTTGGTCGGGAAGGGTGGAAGACTTCCCTGGGACAAAGGCCTCACTCGCAAACAAGCTTGATAATTTTTGCGCGAGGCCAGGAGGTTTTGGACACATGTGAGTCCGTTCAAAGCCGACAGAAATGGTCGACTTTGGTTGTTTGCTCTTCATCGGAGGCATTTTGGGACGCCTTTCGATGGCCATCAATTCGAGAACTCAAGCACAGGAATAATCATGAGAAGGGAAAAGGGATATAGGGAATTTTCGAATTTCTCGAATTGTGCGTTTGTTTTTTTTCTATTTTTCGTCCGTTGGGGCGCCAAGCTTGACTTTGGTCCCTACTACCCACTAAACTACCTAGAGGCATGGACGCTAGTGCTTACTGCCCTGGTGGCTTCACCCTTGCTACTTCCTTACTAGGTTTTCAGGGCGATTCTTTAATTACATGATTGCATGTAGCGTAACACCTGCACATCTACAACTTGTCGCTAAGGCTCTTTACTCATTTTATGTATAACAACCACTCTCGAGATACTACTAATAGATCCATTTATTAACACCGCACCATCCATCCATAATGCAAGGCTCAGAGTTGGGGCAGAGTTGAAGACCTATTTATTTCTTCTCTTGGGTTTCTAGGGCAGGTCTTTATGTAAAACTCTGAAATAGAAAGCCACCTTGCTACACGTAGGGCCCCTTCCCAGGTTCGTAGCAAAAATTTCTTTGGGTCCCTTGAAGATGCTGGAGCTCGAGGAGGTCTATCAGTGGTTAGGTGGCAGTCTTGGAAGTGCAATGGGGCTTTGAGCTGTCTGCAGCCACAATGAAGGTTAGCGCCCTCGTGATTGAAACGCCGGTGGTACTCTGCAAAGTCACCATGTCCTGAGCGGGCAGCGTATAGTCTAGAGAAAAATGGTCTGGCCAGTGAGAGTTCCTTAGGGTTACGAGAGTATGAGTCAATGGCAAGCTCCCTATAAGATACTGGGGTACCAGCCTCAGTTTAATTAACTGAGTGATTCGAGTCGTGAGAAACGACCCCACGTTGGATCACGTGATTGAAGTCCTTGAACGAGGCTGGGCCCGAAAGATAGCTCAGCCTAATCGAACGGAGCACAGCCCATAACACTTTTCATCCACTACTTTTTTTTTTTTTTAACCTAGCTCGAGCATTAATTCGATATTTGTCTCAGGGATGAGGGTTTGATAGTGTTCCACGGGGTGCGTTGTATAGCCTAGTAAAGATCTAGGTGGTAAGTGAAGGTTGTAAATGGGTCAAAGGAATGACAGGTCTTCTCTAGGAAGAGATGAATGGGCAACTAGTTGCAGTAGGTGTTACACGTGGATCTTGCTGATGAAGAACTGGGCAATGGATAAATGGTCTTCCCGAAGAAGAAATGGGTAAACAAATGTATTGTAAAGGGTAAATAAAGAAGACGTTGCGTGAGGAGTAAATCTCTCTCACGCCGAACTATTATATACAAGAGTAGAAGCCTTTGCCAGCCGGAATTAATCTTAATCCATTCTTGCCAATATCTTCGCATTAATGGCTGTGTTCTTGTCCTTCTCTTCATGACTCTCTTGCATATCCTTACATGACTTTTTACACGACTAATTGTATAGGGGAAGCTATTATTAAATTGATGTCTTCAATTAACTACCCCTTCATCTTATCACGAATTAAAATTAGTATTAAAATTCTAATTACGGATCCGTGAAAATTTGTCAAACATCTGATAGTTTGGAACCTTCTAATTATAGTAATGAGAATCAGTGGATATTGGGATCACACATCTCGGATTAACTCACTCGAGCTTTGATACCTCACCAGGGACTAGATAATCAGGATAGTCAAAATGTTCAAAGCTCCAACATGAGGTCTTTTGACATCCAACACATGTAATATATTTTATATGTAATTTTGGGAAACGAGGAGAAGATAATCCCTCCCGGAAATAGGGTGTGGGTGTCGTTTATTGAACTACTTGTTAGAATTTAGAATAATTAGGGCTATCAAGTAGGCCACGTTGCTAATATACACGTTACTGAAAATTCTGTACCTAGTTTCACTTCGATAGTTGCTTGAATCAATGCGCTCTACAACCTCAATAACTGAGGGGCCATTATTTCCTTAGTACTACTTGTGTTATGGCCAGGCATCCTTGAAGAGGTTTCAAGGAGAAGGTTCCCAGGAAAAGGTGATAGTAGAGGTTTTAAGAAAGTTTTCGGGAGAAGGTTTACTGAGAAGGTTTCCGGGAAAACTCCGACAGTTAGAGATGGGGGGCTGGCGTCATGACGGTATTTTGTTATAATCTGCCAAGAGATCCCAGATCTGTGCAGATTTATGCATGCCAATATTTCATGCAAGTCCAAGGACATGGACTTGAGGGCAACCCATAATTAGGGCATCATAAATTTGTAATGGAATGGTATGGGATCGAATAGTATAGAGTAGAATGGAATGGAATGTACTGGATAGTGTAGGAACTGTGATATGACTATCCAGGACATGTATATTATGAGATGTATCTCCTAGCAGTAGGAGTAAGCAAAAGTCATCTGAATACAAGCGTTCCTCAGTTAACACAAGTCTTTTTTATATCTACGTTGGTGTTCTACGAACAAATATAGCATCCTTCCAAGGTAGAGATTCAACCTGTATGTGCTCATAATTTTAACAGGTAGCACCTGGGTTGGAAACTGCTGCGTTTTCCTGTATATCTCATATATGATCCTTTCAGCATCGATCGTATAGATACCGCCGACCATTTTCATAGTCACTGGAACATTAGCGATCCGAAAGGCGACAAGGTTGGAGGCTTCCTCTAACTTGGCGTTGAATTCCGCCAACTTCGGTGTAGCCTCTAGGAGCTCTTCCCTTATTTTTTCATTCCCTGTCAGAATAGCAAAGCCGGTTCAGACACGGTGTATAGAGCAGGCGTCACTCAAGGTGCACTCCAGCCTGATCTGTAATTGTATCACGTGTCTCGCTTAGAATTCCACACTTTCCGTAATTGTGAAGTGTGTAGATAATTGTAAGAATAAGTAAATAAGCACCAATAGTTGTAGTAATAATACACACAATAAATTATATATGTATATATATTATAAGGAAACTGATTTCGAGAGCAAGTATCCACACGCAGCTAAATATATAGCTGGAATGCAGTATACTCTTGAATCCACTGTCGCATAGATTACAACATGGATATATATGATGAAGTAAAAAAGACTTAATATTTTTCAACTATGTGAACATTGGAATTATATATACATATTAGGGGAGAAATTCCCACTGGTCCCACGTGCCTGTCAAATCTAGTGATGACCAGCCACCTCTCATCTACTATAATGAGCCAAGGTACACTGTAGTACGTAAATATCCAAACGTAAATGCGACAGTAGGCGCGATTAGCGCACTCGTGACATGTGTAGAGAGAGTCGATCTTGTCGGGAACCTGAGACGAAACAGGTAGTGGTTGAGTCCTAAATTCGAGAGTCAGAATATCCAAAAATACTAGAAAACATTAATTTTCTCTCTCTCGTTATCCATCAAATCGAGAAAGGGTTCAAAATTGACTAAAATGGCAGGGTTTGGCTTTCCTTTGTATACCCAAGTTTTTGGCGTCCAAATATCTAGCCACTCCAAGCGCCTCCAATCGGTATCAATGTCTTTGGGTTTAGCTCTGATGCTGGCTGCGAGAAGTTCCGCAACCAGTTGTTTCTGTAATTTTCCCCAGCTGCCATACACCCGCAAACGATCTTCCTATCGTTGGCTGGACAGGGCAGATAAAGAAGAAGAAAAGGCTGCTCCAAAAATATGATCGGACAAGCACTTGTGAGGAGTAGTACTTTTTGAGCAGAGTAGAATTGGATGTAAAGTAGGGAATATTCTACTAGCAAATGTATCCTCGACCAAGTTAAGAGAGGCGCCCCATACAATTGATACTGATAGATTCAAGTGTAACAGTAAAACCATATCAATAGATAAAATATTTTAAGTAACCTATCGTACTTGTGCCACCACTTCTTTTATGAAAGTATTTCTTGAACTGTTTTCTATTTTTCACCAGAATCAGTAAACTACATCCCTAGCCACCCAACATAGGACTGTGTTGCCGTCTAATCTCAATTCTCTCTCCTACTCCTGAGCTAAATTATGAAAATTAAAACTCAACTCAGACTCAAAACTTCACAATAAGGCGCAGATTACAGGGTAGTTCACAGAACAATTCATTAAAAACCTAGATTTTGTGAAGCAGAACAAAATCCTTCCGCAGACATGCAATCTGTCAAAATGAAACGAGTGATAGTACGATGAGCAAGAAAGTATGTCTTTTACTGCTAATTTAATGAGTGTAAAGGGTCATTAATGACCTGACTCAAATGCTTGAACATTTGGTTGAGCTAATTCAAATTGATCACTTGGCGGTATTGATCAATTAAACTTTCTAACTGAGATTGAAATTAATCCTAAATCTTTTGATGTTCGGGAAAGGCGTCTAGAATCGCTGTTTTTGATCACAGGCGCTCGCTTTTGGAAATCGGAACATTCCTTAACTCATGATCCAAGTCTTCTATCTGGCATTACAGTGAAGATGCGGTTATTGTTTGGCATCTCCGTTGCAATATTCGGATTCATTTATCAAACCAGCGGTATAAATGTCCCATACTCGGACATGTACCTTCCAGTTGCAACCAATGGCTTCGTATGTCGAACAGACTTCTTTACAATCCATCATCTACGAGAAGCAGCTGAAAATGCTATGGAATCAACTTTCTTTAAAGAATATTATCGACATTTTCCGAGAATATTTGAGGATACGCATCTATTTAATGTTAAATCAGACATCCTTCTTTCGTGGCCTGTTATGTCCACTGGGAAAATCTATCACGGTAATAAACCAAACCTATAAATTTTTCTTCTCTTTTTTAACAAAATGACTGAATAAAAGACCAGGGAAACCAGGGAGAGTTCGCCTAATCATAAACATTAGAGGTCAAATTATGGGTGTGATGATGATTAACTCCAAGATCCAAGGCCATAATATTAGTTTCGAGAAATGCAATCCGGTACGCAGGTCTCTTCAAGAAGAAGATGATGAAGAAAACTTTTTGAATCAAAACTGGAGTGTAACTAGACCGACGTTTGGATACAGTTGTGGCTTAAAATTCATTTCAGTGTCCACGGTTGATCGATTAGTGGGATTAATCTCGAATAAATATTTCCGACAAAGATCGACAGGAAGGGCCAAGCTTGCTAACCTTGATAAATTTATGGGCGATGAGTTTCTAGGAGATGATCTTTACACTTTCCCAGTGCATCAAACCTTAACTGATAAGATCACTTATGGTATTTTTATTTCACTCAATCGGTTTTTGCAAGACTCTAACATTTGCTCGCTAGGGGCGCCTGGTCCTTTTCGTGTTGTTTTTGATATGAAAAATTCTGAGTTGAAAGGAATTATCAATTTAGAAGATAGGAATGAAAAATGTGTAACTTTATGGGATTTATCATCTACT